CTCTAACATATAACCATCCATCTTAAAATGATATTAATCAAAAAATACACTAATTTAGAGTATTACAATGAAAATGAAATTTAAGCCAAAATATTTTAATCAAGTATTATTGTTACACAATACACTAAGTATAATTTATTGTTTATATTTTCAGAGATATATATTAACCTTCTTAATGAATTTTGTTATATTTTAAAACTCATTTAGTTTCTATGTTTTTGTTTATTTTTTTTAATATTCCAATTATGGAAAATGAGATTTCTTTGCATTAAATTATCCTTATTTATTATGAAAAGAGTGATATGAAGAGTTTACAATTTCTTTATATATCTTCTATATATGAGCACTTTTATATCAAGCAATACCAAGATTCTAATTTTTCATGGACGAGGTAATAATTACTAAGCTTTAGCAAGTTAATGTTTTAGCTTCTCTTTTAGTTTTGGCAATAGCACAAAATTAATAAAATCGGGGAGTTTTTAAAAAATAACATTTTTATATTATATCAAACATTAATATAAATAAACTAAATCTTTTCTTTATTAAAAACATAATTAAACTAATAAATAAATTTTATCTATTTAATCATCAGCAATGTCTAAAATTGAATAACGCTTTTTGGAAGTAGAGAATGAAATAGAAGAATTCTTATATCTCATATTACTTTTTAGACTGGTTTCTCTAGAATTGATGAGTTAATTGATTCATTAGTTCATATACCCTTTACATATAAGACTAACTATGCAGAATCACATCTTTAGATACCTTAGATTAATTAATTCAATATATCAGAATTTAACTATTCATCATAGATGGTTGGAAGTGTGACCCCGTTGGTAAAGTAAATTATCAAAGAAGAAATTGAAATTGTTTAACAAAATTTGATTTAAATAAATATCTAAAAAAAATATTTTATCAGAAGGAAAAAATGAATTAATAGAAAAACATTGTAAAAGAAGTAATTGATTCTTAAGAATGTAAAATACTAATACTATTTTTATTGAAGGAGAATAAGAAATTAATATGTAGTAATAAAAATAAGTAATATAAATAGGAAGTGAATAGAAATAATTGGAATAATAATAGTTGATGAATGAGTAATAAGTTGAATTTAAATTAATTGATGATTCAAATTAATAGACTTCACCATGTTATGCAATAGTATTTGATAAAATGGATCAATATGATTTCAACTTTTAGTAATGATATTAAAATATGGAATTTTGATTAAGGAATATTTAAATTAACTACTTCATATCAAAAACATACAGCTTTAGTTATATGCTTGGTTTATAGTAAACATAACAATTACTTTATTTCAGGTTCACATGATTAAACAATTGTCTGTTGGCAATAAATTAATCAAGAAGAGTGGATTTGTTCAAAACCATACTTAAAAAATGATTAATTTGTTAATTGTTTAATGTTAAATAAATAAGAAGATCAACTTAATTCCTTAGATAAACATGGTAATAGTGTAGAATCATTCAGTTTTAATTAAAGTGAATCTCTTATGGCATCATGTGGTTATGGAGAATTTATAATATGGAGAAAGGAATTGAAGATAAATGGGAATTAAAATTAATAATTGAATTATTATATTTATTCATTTATTAATTTTTTTTTATTTAGAATATAATTATTTAAGGATATTACAAATTAAATAATTACAACTTTCAATTTTATTATCAATAACTCAGGTAGTTTAATTAGTGGACATAAAATTCAATTTACTAATGATTAATAATTATTTTGGGTACCTTTACATAAGTATATTATTGATCTTTTAGTATTTGAATTGGAATTTATGAATAAAATTCTAATAAAACAATCACATTAATTAGGAATCATGATTGTGATGATAAATCTAATTTTCCAATAATACATAATAAGGATAGAAATATAATATTGGTTCGACACAAATGTGAAATTTATTTGATTAGAGAATTAAATGATGATACATTTAAAATTATTATATCATTAAAGTGTTAAAGTGAAAACTTTTATGGTACTATGACCAATAATGGATAGTATTTAGTATTTTGGGATGAAAAAAGTGCAAAATATTCATCATACGAGATATTGTATAAATGAATTAGAAACATATCTATAAATTATCATCAATAAATTATCTACTTAATTTTCATTTTTGCCAAAATTATAATTCGAAATTTTTATTAATTTATCTAAAATATAAATGAACTTAAAAATTAATTAATACAAATTTACAATCTTTTGTAAAGGATATTAACTGGAATATTAGATCTTATTACATCAAATCAAATGGCATGATTAAATAAGACGGTCTATATGAAATTTTTGTCGACTTAAAAAAAATTAAAACAAAGATATGTGGTTGTTATATAAGTTATTATCATTTGATGTTCTTCTATTAATTTAAAATCATCTAAAATTAAAAAAAACTGAATAATATTATATAAATAGATAAATAATCATAGTTAAAATTACATTTAAATAAACTTTAAAACTACTAAAAGAAAACAAAAATGTATTATTTGATCTTTCTGTTATTTTTTCCATATATGAAATAACATAATGAAATGAATCATTTCTATTACTCTTCATTTGAAGCAATAAACTATACTTATTCATTAAAATTATTGAAATTTTGAGAGTAAAATATAATTAGTATGTTAATAAATTATCTGATTTTATAAAAGTAGAAATGTTAGTAACAGAATGAAAAAAAATTTTGTTTTATTTGATACAAATATTATCTTTTTTTAGTTTTAAAATATATTATCCCATGTGTTTTCGGATACAGAAATTATAGTAATCAATAATTTTTGGGTTAGAGAACACACTACTTATACATGTTCCCCAAATTTACTAGATATAGGCAAATTCATCCTATAAGAAAATTTTCCATTTAATATCATACAAATTAGTTAAGCAATTATAATCCTCATTATCGAATTAATAATTTATTATAGATATATATCTCTAATATTAAAGAAATAAATATAAACCTTCATCTTTAAGATATAAATTATGAAAAAAAATCAAATATATTCAATTATTATACACTAATAACTATTTGATCCTAATACTTTTTAATCATTTTTACTATTTATACTTGATATTCATAAATTTTCAAAGTGCTTTCTTAAAATATTTATGATACCTAAATTTCTAAAAGTCTAATTATTCTGTTTTTGTAAATTATTTGATTAAGAATAGAACAATAAAAATGTTTAATGATGCTATAATTAAGTAGAATTGTATTATTATTATTTATGAAAATTTAAATACATAAAAGAAGTGCAAGAAATCCTACATTGATATACTAAATAATAATTCATAGAATTGAACATGGTATTAAAATATTTATTTTAATTATTAATTAATCTAACCTTATTAATTAAGAATGTATTCTGAAATAGTATAATTGTTAATAATTAAAGACCAATATTTTATGAACAATTATATTAATATTTCTATTTCTGGGTAGAGTTATATTTATAAGCAAAATATCAGCAAACTCTTTTATTTAAAATCTACATAATATTAGAGCTAAAGAATAAGGATACTCAAATTATCTAATTTTCCTAAGTTTCTATAATTATCAAACTTTCTTATAATTAAAATAATTTATTCAACGAGTTTATAATTACTATTAATTAATATAATATTCTTGTTTTCAATAGTTTTCTTTTAATAAATCATTTTTCAATTTTAAATTTTAAATATATTATATACACATTGTTATTTACATTTAAATCTTAAAAAATCTGAGATAGTAAGGAATTAAATCCATTTAAAACTCTATTATGGATATTTTTTGATAGTAGTAGAATTTAATATTATTTGAATTCAGAATAATGAAATAGACTATTTAGTAGATTTGATATTTTATATTATAAATTATTAAAAAAAGTCTGAGAATTCTTGGATAACTGTGCTTATGAAATTAACAATATATTTATTTAGAAAGTTTTGATTTCTTTTAGTTTTTCGTAAGATTTTAAAGCTTTTTTGAAAGAGTAATTTTCTTATTAAAAAGTTTAATTTCTTAAGATTTTTAATCCTTTACCTAACATTGTTGAAGATTTTAGAAATAGTAATTTCCTTAATAAAAATTTTTATTTCTTAACTTTTTTTCAGGTTTTTAAAGATATTTTGAAAAATTTTTTTTCCTTATATTTTTGATTCTAATATGGGAAGATGTGTAGATAATAAATCATTTCTAAAAGAAATCATATAAAGATTTAAAAAAATATTAATTTCCCTATTAATAATTTAATGCTTTTTGAAGGTTTTTAGGCTTTTTGAAAATTAATTTCCTTATTAAAAAATTTTATATAGTCAAGTTTTTTTAATGTATTTTTATTAGGATATGAAAAGTTTATTGAAAAATCCTATTAATAATTTAATGCTTTTTGAAGGTTTTTAGGCTTTTTGAAAATTAATTTCCTTATTAAAAAATTTTATATAGTCAAGTTTTTTTAATGTATTTTTATTAGGATATGAAAAGTTTATTGAAAAATTGATTTAAATATTGAAAATTTTGATTTTTTATGGTTTTTAATTTATTTTTTTTTAAAAACATAATATGTTTTTAAAGCTTTTAGAAAGGATTTATATTTTTTTTTTGAAAAAGTTAATTTCTAATAAATTTAATGATTTAAAATTTTAATAGTTTTTTAAAAAAAATAACAATTTGATTCATTATATAAAATTTTAAGTTTTTGAATAGTCTTTAAATGTTTATTTAGATATTTTGATACAGAAAATGATTTGTTTTTCAAGATAGCATTTAAGTTTAGTTGAGTTATTAGATTTATATTTATTAAATTTCTTAAAAAAACCTAATTTATTAAAAAATAAAAAGTAAGATATTATCTTGTTTTAAGGGCTTTAGAAATATGATAAATTTTCTTAAAAACTATTAGAAATTAATTTTTTTTTTTTTAAAGTTTAGATTTTTTTTTGTTTTTAATTATGTATAAAAACATAAGAATTTTAATTTTTAATATGGCTTAAGAAGTTGAAAATTTTTTAAACCATTTGAAAGATTTCTAATTTTTAAAAAATTTAAATAAAACCATTATTTAAAAAAAAAATGAGCAATATACTTTCATAAAAATTTAGAAAAAACATAAGAATTTTAATTAATTACAAAGGCATTAGAGTTTGTTAATTTTTTTAGAAAAAAAATCAATTTCATCTTGTTATAAAGAAAAATTAATGAAAAAATTCACAAATTGAATATTTTTATATAGGAAAAAGTCTTTAAAAATGTAAGGAAAAATCTTATAAAGTTAAGAAATTTCTAAAATTTTCATTAATTTATCTTAGTGAAAATATTGTTTAATTAAGGATTTTTCATTTTTTGTGGATAAGGAAATAATAGGAAAAAATTCATATTTTTTAACAATTTTATAGATTTTTAAAACAAAAAAATTTTTGCTCAGACCCTTATTTTCAGGATTTTTCAATACTCTATATTTTGCTCAGAACCATATTTTTACAAAAAAAGCTTAGCGAAACTTTTTGGAACCATCTGACCCAACCCCAACCGTATACAAGACTATATTATTATTTATTATAAATCTAATATAGTACTCCCTTACTGACCAACCCCAACAATTATCTGCCAGCAACCAGACCATAACTAACTAACTAATTAAAAAGGTCATATCTTAGTAAGCCTTTTTTTTGAAAATTTTTTTAATTTTTTTTTTTACAAAAGAACAAATTTGTCAAATTTTTTAAACAAAAACTCAAAAATACAATAATTAAATCCCCACTACTACTACTCTCTTTTTTTCAAACTACTATATAAGAACCTAAATAAGTTTCATATACTTTCAACTAATTCAGATTAAAAGTTAAATAAAATTCTTTTGATCCTCTGAAATTTAGATTAAATTCTAGCATAATCTTTTCTATCTATTTATTTAAAATTAGGGATTAGTGATATAATCATGAAAATATTAATGAATCTCAATCAAATAATGACAATATAATTACAATAATACTATAAATTTTAATATAAATAACAACACTTTTTAGAAGTAAATTAAGATTTAGAGAACTCAAATTCATTGAAAATAAAGATGTAGTAATATTAATTTAAAATATTTAATGTATTGTTAAATTATTGATATTTTTGACTAAAGACATTGGTTCTTTAATATGATTCTAATAATATATTCAAATTTTTTTGTTTTGTTTACTCTTATTTTTAGAGTCCAGTAAAATTAATAAATTTTCTTTTTGGAAAATAGGATTAATTATCTAAACTTTTTGTTTCTAGGATTAGATTTAATGTTTTTTAAGGGCTGCTTTTAATTTCAAAATATTAGCCTTCACTCTTTAATTGGTTTCAGCTTAAGTCTTCAAAATTTTTTAGCATATACTATTATTTGATTTAAATCTTTTTGGGAGAACCGACAAAATTTTTAATTTAATTTAATCTAAACTGGTTACCATTTCTCTAGAGTATGCATTCAATATGTAAAATAACATTTTAATAAGCATTAAGAAATTGATAATAATAAGTGAGAAAAATAAAACAGTTGATATATTTTAAAATTATTGCTGTTAATCCATATTTAAGCAAATTCCTAAAATCATTGAAACCCCACAAACAATTGAAGATTGATAATCCAATAAATTTAATCTAGAGGTTCTAAAAGGTATAAATTTAAGGTTCAAAGACCAATAGCATAAGAGTAAAAAAAATATTAAGGAACCTTTTAAAATAATAGAATCTTCATAAAATATTAAGAAGATAATAATCAATTCTTTAGTAACAATCTTTATAATCTCCCAAAAGTATGTTTATGGCTTATATTCATAATAAAGATATCCAAATACACTCTTACCTCTTTTATACTAAAGTTTATCTTTATTATAGACCAGACATAGAAGCAAACCAAAAGGTATTATGACTCCAAATATAGATAACATTGG